GTGTGTGTGTGTGTGTGTGTGTGTTTTAGTTTTAAATTTTGTTTTGAGGGAGGTTGCAAGGGCTGAGGGTGGAATCGAGGGGATGGGAGGATGAGTGGAATCGGGGTGCATGATATGCCCACAAAATATCAATAAAAAGGTTAAAAAAAATAAACAACTGTTGGTGGAGGCTGCACATTCATTTTCTGGCTGCCCAGACCTGAAATAAATGCACAGAAACTATATTAATTGCAATACTATTTGGCCAATAGCTTAAGCGTATTTCTAGTTAGCTCTACATCTGAAATTAGCTCATTTCTATTAATTTGTGTATTGTCACATGGTTGTGACTTACTGGCAAGGTTCCATTCACTGCCCAGCATCTGTCTCCTGGGGCTGCTACATGGCTTCTCCCTGACTCTACCTTCTTTCTCCCAGCATTCAGTTTAGTTTTCCTGCCTGGCTCTATTCTGCCCTGTCATAGACCTAAGCAGTTTCTTTAAACAACAACAACAACAACAAAAATTAAATTAAATAGAATTGAAAATTGTTGAGGGGTTAGGGCTCAGTTGTAGGCAAACATTTCTGTCCTGCAAGTTGATCCCAGGTAACCAAACAGAGGCTTAATATTAATTACAAATGCTTGGTCAATATCTCAGACTTGCTACTAGTTCACTCTTACATTTTCAATTAGCTCATATTTTTATCTACCCTTTGCTATGTGGTGTTGTAGGAGGGTCTTCTATCTATCTGTTGCTTTCATTGGTTAATTAATAAAGAAAACTGCTTGGCTGATAGGTCAGAACATAGGTAGGTGGGGAAGACAGAACAGAATGATGGGAAGAAGAAAGCAGAGTCAGGCAGATGCCATGCTTCTCCTACCCAAGATGGATGGTGGTTAGACTCATGGCAGTAAGCCACAGTCAAGTGGTGATACACATTAATAGAAATGGGTTAATCAAGATGTGAGAGTTAGCTAGTAAGAGGCTAGAGCTAATGGGCCAGGCAGTGTTTAAAGGAATACAATTTGTGTGTTGTTATTTCAGGTGTAATGCTAGCTGTGCGGGAGCTGGGCAGGACAAAAAGCAGTGTGGTACAATGTGGCTTGGTACCTTTTCTCAATATGGCATGCATGTCCATCTTGCTTCTCTCTGTGTCTGCTCACAGCTCCTCTGACTCTGTCCTTTCCAGCATTCTCTTTGACTCTCTCCCTTTCCTTATCCTGTCCAGATATCGGCCACTCAGCCTGTTTATTAAACCAATCACAGCAACATACATTCTTACAGTGTTAGGTAACATCCCACAGTCAGTAGTAGAAAATAAAACAAAATAGGGGGAAAAGAAACAAACCAAACCAACCAACCAAACAAACAAAAAACAAAAAACCCAAGAACTGAAAACAACTTAAAGGAGGGAAGGGTGTGGGGAGGAAGAGAAATATGTAGTTTGGGGAGTATAAATCTAATCTCTTTGTTGGATATGATTTGAGGAAATTGACTCATCTTTCTGAACTCGTATTCCAAGTGAGAGACAAGCAAGTGGACCAAAGGGCATTACAGGTTGAGTCACACAGCAGTGTGGCCCTAGACCAGGCTGGGTGGGGACACAGGTCACCTTTCCCGGTTGTCAGAAAAGAGAATAATAAAGCTACCTCTCCCGGGTTCCATCACGCCTTCATACCTGCCTTTCCGGTCCACACAGTAGAAGCTGGCCTGCCACTTTCTACACTGCTGTCTGTGGTGAGTAGGAAAATAGGCAGCGGGGGGGGGGGTGATAAATACGTAATACACACTAAAGGCAGACGAGGTGATTCACACGTACAGTCCCGGCACTTACAAGGCTGAGACAGGTGGGTCAGGAGTTCAGTGCCAGCTTTGGCTTCATGGCAAGTTCAAAGCCAGCATGGGCTACATGAAACTCTGTCTCAGGAAACTGAACTAAATGATGATGATGATGACGATGATGATGACAATGATAGGTTGGACTGAAGGGACAGTGATACTTGTGGTCTCACCTTAGGGCCATCAGACTGAGAGAATCTTGGTTAGCTAATGGAGATAAGCGCAGGGCTTCCTCAGAACACTTCCGAATTAATGCTCTTTCAATGTCTGTAAGAGTTGACCCATTTTCAGGCGTATCTCTGTGAGTTCGAGGTCAGCCTGGTCTACAGAGCAAGGTCCAGGACTGGCTCCAATTGGGAAACAAACAACAACAAAAGAGTTGACCCATTTTTGTTAAAACACATTTTACTTTAAATAATTATTGGTTGGTTGGAAGTTGCAGAAACAATGGAAGAAGGTCCTCGTGTACCCACCCAGTTTCCCATTAGCTCATCATCTCCCGGAAGTAATAACGTGCTATCAAAACCAGAACATGCACCCTGGCATGACTCAGAGACCTAGTTCAGACTCTGTGCGTGTGTGTGCCCGTGTGTGTGTGTGTGTGTGTGTGTGTGTGAGTGTGTCTGTGCCCTCATTGCATGGCTTCCTGCAGTCACCACTTCAATGAAAGCATAGGAGTGGTCCACCATTAAAGGCTTCCTGCGGGGCTGGGAAGACAGTCCAGAGGTAGAACTCTTGCTTTGTGAGCTCAAGGCCTGGAATCCCATCCCCAGCCACAAACCAGAAGAGGCGCCTTCCTCGCGCTATAAGGTTACACTCTGCTCTATCCTCCTCTTCCCCACCTTTGGGGTGTTTCCTTTCCTAATACACAGTTGGTAGTTCTCATTACAGTGTCAACATCTGTACTCATCTGAAACACAAAGAACAGGTTCTTCCATTGGTTCTCTGCTGATAGGAATGCTGGGAGGAAAACAGAGCACCCAGCTATGAAGTTGGTGGGCCTTCTGTGTGGTAACCATTGGTAACACCAGAGGACGGCTCAGCAGGATGGCCTTATTCCTGTAGGACCGGCTAGTGTATGCCTAAAAAGTACATTGGCTAGTCCAGATAAGCACTCAAAACTGATAGGAACTCAACAAATATTTATTTATCAGGTAACTACACTGACCCAGCAGGGAGGGGCACATTCCAGGGCAGGTTCCTTAAAGAGACAGAACAATTCTCTTTAGAGAGCCAGTGTTATCAAATGAGCAGGGCTTAGCGCAAGTGTTGGCTTGAGCTTCCTATTGACAGTCCCTTAATTCTTTTCCAAACAGGACGTGATAGTAAAACACACTGTAGTGTGCTCCTGCAGTGTTCACCAAAGGACTTGAAGGAGGTCCCCAATCCTCACAATCTTGAAGGCCCCTTGTCAACTCTGCAACCTGAAGAGGGAAGAGACCCATGCCAGCTGCGTGGCCAGGAAGTTAGTAAATGGAGTTAGCAAATGGTGGGAACAATTACGTTGGCAGCAGGCACGGTGCGGAGGACTTCAACTGCGATACCTCATTTAATCTGTGTAATTACTCTGAGAGTTGGGTGATCTTATCTTCACTTCATGACTGAGAAAGTTGAGACACGCAGAACTTAAATGTTTTATTTATTAGGGCCATGTAGTGAGTGGAAGATACGGGATCTGAACTCAGGCTAGTGGGCCAGGGCCTTCGCCTTCATTAGGTCTCAGTTGGATACAGGAATGGACAAGCACTGTCTGTTTTCCTTTTGAAGGGTCTTCCTATGGAACCCAGACTGGCCCTGAACTTCGTATCCTCTCGCCTAGCCTTCTGAATACTGGCCTTACTGTGCATGCTCCACGGGACTGTTAAAAAGCCCTCCATTCCTGCCCCCAAGTGCTTGAGATGAACTGATTCCTTGGACAGCAATTGCTACTGCCATCTAATGGTTAAATGCCGAGAATCCAAGTCCATAAACATAGATGAGAGGTGAGGCGTCAGATCGGTCATCGTCTCCTCCTACCCCTACCTCCTCACACGGTTGTTTGAGATAGAATTTTGGTATGGAGCCCAGCCTAGTTCCAAACCTGCAATCCTCCAGCCTCAGCCCCTTGAGGATGAGGATTACAGGCATGTACCACCATACCTAAGTCAAGAAGCACTTCGCATAGGTACATAGACTAAATGACTAATGGTTTTGCCTGACGTTTGGATGAAAGTGTGGGGTGTTTTTTTTTTCTTATCATTTTTAAGCTTATAAAACAACCAGAAGCTTGATGCTTGAAGAATTTTCACTAGAAAGAGGATCACATCACTGTGGCCTACCCTGTCATTAGTGATCCACCTTCTCAGCTTCTCCAGGGCTGGCTCACGGGCTGGTTACCCTCTCTTCAGCTGAACCCTGCTCATCCACAGTCCCCTCCTCGTGCCGGGTTAGTTACTTCTACTGTAGATGTTAGAAAGATTAGAGAGATGAAGATACCATCTTTAGAGAGAAGAGCTGGTGGGTGGTGTGGCCTAGAGGGCCAATACTCCTGCTTGCCCCAGGCCTGAGGAGAGCGTGAGCTTCATTTTCAAGATCTCCATGACGCAAAGAGAGGACCAAGGAGGGGTTGTCTTCTGACCTCTACAAGGAAGGATGGGAACCATGGCACGCCTAACTACCTCCAATAAATAAATAAAATATAAAAACAAGAACTCGGCTATGAGGGAGACAAGAACTCTGGATAGAGAGTAGTAAAAATAGGGGTAAGTACAAAAGGTCTTTAATCTGAGGCATGGATACATTTATAAATAGCCGTATACCTGAACTTAATAAAATGCTATTAATAAACTTTACTGACATCTGTGGAAAGCGTGCTTGTGAGTTCTTGTAGAAAGTGGTTTTGTCTATGCAGCCAGGAATAAATACTGACCGGATTTGTTATTTCATTCATAAAGGAGAAGGCTCTCAAATTAGGTTGATTTCAACACACCAAGCCAGACAGATAGTAAACCGCCCACGAAGAATGAAACTTTTTACCCTGTCATCCCTCAGATGCAAATGAGACAGTAACATCCGCACCAAGCAGGTGTTTGTGCAAGCAGAAAATCCCAGACCTTTTATTGCAAAGGGGAGGAGCCAAAGATCCTGACAGGACTAGCAGGGTTGCCTCCCTCCCTCAGGGACTTCCTGCTGTCACTAAGTCAGGCGAGGGAGCTCACTGGAAGAAAGTCGGACTCTGCCAGGCTCTGCTGAGTGGGCCACATTTTGGTGTTCGGGACACACATGCTCTCTTGAGAGTCCCTATGCTGAGGCTGTACTTTCTTATCAGTTTGTTGTGCTTGGTGAAATCAGGTAAGTCATTTAGCCAATGCTTTTAAAAAATATATTAATGGACTTTCAAAGTTCTATGTGAGCATTTTTTAGGCCAGGAACTATGGTAAAATGAACTTTATTATACTGAATTTTTCCCCTCAACCATAGATCCTACTGTTATTTCTTTGAATTAACTTGAAAAAGCTATAGTAGTATTAATTCTCATCATAGCTAAATTGTGTCTTTCCACATATATGGAATTAAAACCATTTTTTAAATGTAAAAAAATTGTTTTATGATTCTTAAGGCAGAGAAGGTAAGTTTTTTCATTTTCTGTTTTTTCTTTTCATATTTTTAGCAAGGGTAAATTATTATACTTTCAGGTATTTAGGTATATTTAAATCATTATTATTTAAATATTATTACAAAATCCCCAAAATTTTATATACATAAATTCCTTACAACGGTGCCTGGTATATTTATAACTCAAAACTTATTCATTACCAGGCTGGGACGTAGTTCAGTTGTAGGATACACGCCTAGCATGTATGATGTTCCGGGTTCAATTTCCAATACAAAAAAGGTAATAAAAGCAAAACAAAGATATTAATCTCCATGGAGAGCTAACAAAAGGGAAAATTTCCTCTCAGCCCTTCTAGGAGCTTACTTCTTTTCCACACAAAGCTTGTGGCTACGACTTCTGACACAGCCTTTGGTTTGCTTGTTTGTTTTCCTAGACCGGGTTTCTCTGTGTAGCCCAGGCTGTCCTGGAACTCTCATAGACCAGGCTGACCTCAAACTTAGAGATTCATCTGCCTCTGTGCCGGGATCAAAGGCCTGGGCCACCGGGGCAGATATCAGACCTGTACACCGTTCACGTTCTGTGACTTGTAAAAGCGTTGCAGGTGATTTAGTCTAAGGAAATAACCTTTGTTTGGGGTAGCGGCAAATGGTGCTAGTTTTAAACCTAGGACACACACTGGGCAATCACTCAACTACCAAGTTACATTTCCAACCCTAAGAATAACTTTACAAATGAAAAAACAAACCAACAGGAAACCTCAGAAGCAGAGTAGATGGAGCAGAAATGGCTCCAGTCCAGGATTAGATAAGGTCCAAATAGGAAACTATTTCTACTGCTGTATTTACTTAATATGTGTGGGCACACAAGCCGCAGTGCCCGTGTAGAGTACAGCTTGTAGGAGTTGGCTCACTCCTTCCACTGTGTGAATGGGCACTGGATAGAGCTCAGCTTGTCAGGCTTGGTATCGGCTGCCTTTACCCGCTGTGCCATCTTGCTGGCTCCAGTAATAAACTAATTTTAATGAATGTGATCTTTGGGGCTGAGAAGATGGCTCAGTAGATAAAGCGCTGGCCAAGAAAAGATGAAACCACATAACTGCCTAAGGGGTATGGAGGCCCTCCTACAACTTCAGAACTCCGTGGGCTGAGACAGGATCCCTGTGCAAGCTAGCCAGCTGGGCTGGCTGAATCAGGGAGCTCTAGGTCCCAGCGAGAGACCCTGACTCTGTTTACCAGGTGGAGAGCGATTGAGGAAGACATCTGTCAACCTCTGGCCTCCGCATGCACTAGCACCCTCAGACAGTGCACCCACACACATATGACCATGCATACACATTAACACACACACCACACGCAGATACATATGCCAGAAAGAGGGAAAGGAAAAGTACTCATTAAGTTCATTCTGATGCTTTTCAGAAATGCCCAAAGATGTTTTTTAAACGAATACTGGTGAGGGGCTGGTGAGATAGCCTTGTGGGTAAAAGCATCCACTGCACAAGGCTGGGAGCTGAGTTGGAACCCCAACCTACGGAAAGGTGAAAGGGGAACACTGACTCTTCCCCGTACGTGAGCTGTGGCATGCAAGAGTCTGTGCACACGCACACGGACTAATAATGAAATTTAAAAATTTTAAAAATAAAATAATGCAAAAGATGAAATGGTAGAACTCAATTTTGTAAACCAGTTGAAACTGTTAAAATCATAAAGACATGCTGAGAAATGAAGCTTAGAATTGGCCCAGCAATTTTATATTAGTTATATTGGAATTTATTTCCAGCCCTCTTGAGTCTTTATCCAACCATAGGTGGTAAATAGTATTGTCCAAGTCTGTCATCGACATCAACAGTTGCTATGTGGCATCTACTGAGTGCCAAGGCTTTGGAGACCTCCTAGGCATCATTTATGATTCTTAGACCAGCCCTGACAGTCTGGGGCCTTGGGTAAGATGAGTGAGGTGAACGGCATTCCCCAGAAACAACATGTACGAGGAGGGACACCAAAACTCAGAAGCCAAGTCATTGTTCATTTTCTGGAGATTTTTATGTGTCTGAGTGTTTTTCCAAATGTATTCTGTGCACCATGTGCCTGCAGTGTCCACAGAGGCCAGGAGAAGGCGCCCTCTCTTCGGAGACTGGAGTTACAGATAGTTGTGAGCCACGGTGTGGGTGCTGGCAATGCTCTAGAGGAGCAGCCAGTGACCTTGCCTGCAGAGCCATCTCTCCAGTGCCATGCTTTTTAACTAAAAATGACATATAAGTGATTATTCCTGGATGTGTGCACGTGTGTGCATATATACACACACCACAATGTACTGGTGAAGTTCAGAGAACAACTTGCTGGCATCCAGCTCTCTCCTTCCCACTCTTTGGGTTCCGAACTCAGGTCACTAGGCTTAGCAGCAGGCGCCTTTACCCACTGAGCCATCTGGCCCTCCCAGTGAGTGAGGCTATAATGCAGTATTTAAAATATCAAAAGTATTGCAAATAAATGCATAGTAAGCAAAAGGTTAAAAATTAACTTAAAGATAGACCGCTTTTTGTGCTGTCACCTGTACTGCTGGTGAAAAGAGTCATTTCTAACCAGCAACCTGTTCCTTGGTGGCCCAAGGCTGCCTTTACTTCCTTGTGCGGCAGTTTATGAGTGTTGTTGATGCTGTGTAAACAGACCTAATCACACAGCTTTATTGAGAGAGTCCCTTCCCTTTTTTCTCTTTATGGTAGAGTGTTGATGAACTGTGTGCAGTTGATTCAAAATACCAAAGGATATTTGTGTGTGTGCATGCGCGTGCATGCAGTGCTGAGGATCGAACCCAGGGCCTCACAAGCGCTATGCATTATCTCTGAGCCATACCTCAGTTCTGTAAGGAGCGTACTGAATTCATTTCCCCGTGGCTGTGATAAAACACCTGGCAGAAGCAACTTAAGAGAGGAAGAGTTTCTCTGGTTCGCGGTGCAAGCGGATGCTGTCCTTCATGGTGGGAAGGCAGGGCACCTTGCCACGTTGATGGTCGGGGTGGAGCTCTTGATGTTGTTACACCTGAGCAGGTCAGGAAGCAGAGAGCTGGGACTGGAAAGGTGTCCAACCTCTAATCCTTAAGGCCTAGTCCTCGGGGACATTTCCTTCAGCTAGGACACACTTCCCAAGGGTTCTACAGCCTCTGCAAATAGTGCCACCATTTGGGGACAAGTGTCTGAACACATGAACCTGTGGAAGACATTTCATGTTCAAATTATACATGTGTGTAAGGACACAAGTTTTTGGCTTCAAATTCAACTTGCCTCTGTGTAGCATTTCCTCAAAGGTTAGCATTGGGATGGTCGTTTTATAAATGCAAGATGGAGGCACAAGAGAGGTTAGGCCATTGGCTATGCCAGCTTACACAGCTGGTGAATGGCGGGCTGACTCTCATACCCACACTTTCCCCAAAACTGTATTGGGTTTTCATCAAGACACTGTAAAAAGCAAACGTTGTAGGGGACCAAATGGTAAATACTTACAGTTTTATGAGACAATACTCATGCCCACTTAACTCAGCTAGTAGAGCAGGGGAGCATCCATGGACCGTATGTGCGTAGGCCTGGCCAGATAATAAGAAAATGCGATGGGACTGCAGGCCAGTGGGACTTCCATGTAGCTCAGTTGATAAAGCGCTTGCCTAGCTTGCATGAGGCTCTGGGTTTGATCCCCAGCACTGCAAAACCTGAATGTGGTGTACAGCACCTCTAATTCCAGCACACAAGGAGTGGAGGCAGGAAGATCAGAAGTTCAAGATCATCCTCAGCTCCATAGTGAGTTCAAGTCCAGCATGAGCTACACAAGGTAAAAAGGTCATTGATGATTGCCTTGATTTTCTACTTGAATCTGTTTCTTTTAACATAAGGAAGGTTATAAAGAATAATTATGCCACCTCTGACTAGAACGCAGGTCCTTCCTTGAAGGGTATTGTACACGGAGTCCATATCACTGTGATTTTCCCGTCGTCGGTAAGAAATGTTATTTCAGGGTAAGGAGTCCAGAAGGAACAGGCATGGTTTCTCCTGTTTCAGTGAGCTATGAGAGAAGGTGAAGCTTGAAAAACCAGTTTAGTACACTCTGTGGTTACCTTCTTGGACTCTGAATAACCTTGACTTTGTAAGAAATAAATAAAATAGCCCCAAAGTTGTTTGCCTTTGGGAAGCATACAATAGTTCATAGCTTTAAATACACTATCGGAACTCTCTGTGTGTGAGGCCACTGAACTCACTAGTTTCTCACAATGTCTCCTGTTCGTATGCTCTCCAAATTGCTGAGAGTTTGACTCCAATGAAAAGTTCCAACACTGGGAACACATTTGCTGCAACAAGAACAGCAGCAACTCAGTACCTGACCCCAAGTAGTTTAAACTTGTTTCTGACGTGGTCCATGATACCTCAAACTCATTGTTTTCTTTTTAAAATGTTTAGTTCTGACAACCAAAGCTGGAGCTCAGTGGGAGAATGCACAAGGCCCTGAGTTGATCATCGACACTGCAGAATTACTAATGGGCTGGAGAGACGGCTCAGTGCTTAAGAGCACTTGTTGCCTTCCCAGAGGACCCGGGCTTCATTCCCATCACCCACATGGCAGCTCATAACCATTTGGAACTCCAGTTCCAGGGGATCTGATGCCCTCTTCTGACCTCTGTGGATAATGAATATGTACATGATATACGCATAAAACATTTTTCAATGAGAAAAAATAATTAGGAAAAATTA